CCAAAAAAACTTGAGAAGAAAATCTCATGAAAACTTTTCATGAAAACATTTGGTGAAATAGGCTAATGGTCTATTGTGAATTTATGATTTCAATAAAATTCATTTTAACTGAACTGCGACAAACACAGTTAATTACACATACACCGTGATACACACATACACGCAAACTAATCGCTGCGCATGGGAAGAACGGGGAAGGTGGTTCAAATGAGCAAAAATAAAATATTGTTATCGCCAACGTTTCTATTTGATGTACGAAGGTCGTAAAATGCACAATTTTGAATGATTCGCCGTCAAATTGTAAACCAGCACCATCGAACGCGTCGAAAGCATCTTTTAGCTATTTAAAATTGAACTTTAGAGATGAGAGGAGATGGTTTTATTATTCAATAATATGCGTCGTCTCATTGTGACCGCAAAATAATTTCCGACCATTTATTTCGTTCATAAAACATAAAACAGTTTAATAAGTTGATGGATTTATCCATGTACATATATATATATATATATAGGATATAGTTTGGTATTTTATTAGTCAAAGTTATTGAACCAATATTTATTTTTTGATGCTCGATTCAAAAACTTTCATTAATATTTGCATTGTTCGGTGTGTCTTTCATTTTTTCCCTACAGTTTCTCTGTGGCGTGATGTTTGCAAGTGGCTTGAAAGTTTGACATGACCATTTTGAAGGATGAACCAATGTGACGAAACACATAGAGAGAAGAGCAATCATCATCGTCAACGTCGTCATCACAAAGGGAATTCGATGCAAAAAAAAAAAAAATAAACGATATACAAAGAGAAAACTTGAGAATACTGCAAACAAGAATCGACAATAGTTTGATGGTGACAAAGATATTTGCACTTTAGTGTGTTATGTGAGTGTGCTTGTGACGGAAAAAAGAGGGGACGAATCATTTCACCAAATCAAATGGACAAACGAACAAAGAACGAGACGCAAAAGAAAAAGAAGAAAAAAAACCCCAGTGCAATTGTATTTGGATTAGATCGCAAAAAATACATTTCATGTGAATGGACTCTTTGTTTAGTATGCTTCAAAGCAGTTTCACGAGAAGTTTGAGTTTTTCTTTGTAGAAAATAGTGTGTGTTTGTATTTTTGTACAAAAATCAAGTGAATTTCGAATCATTGGATCACATCAACGGCTCTCGATTGCGTTATGCAAGCAATTTTATGAACGATAAAATTCGCAATATTCGCTGCTTATGCATCGCGTGTTTCAGTGGAAAAGAAGGATAACATTATTTCCGCCTCACATACAGCAAATAAACGGATTGGTGTGAACAGCAGCAACAGCATGCTCTCACAATATTACAAATGAACAGTGGAAGCAATCTAAACAGAGTATAACACAACACAATTTTATAAAACCACGCCATTTTAATACCTCCTCAAAAAAGAAAAAAAAACACTAAGCGAGCAACTCAATATATATCGTTTGTCGTTTGTGAATATTGCATTTTTTTCTAGTGAAACCCGCGAGAGAAAAGTAAGGAGGGAAATATCTAGCATCAATAAACAGTCTCGACAAAATGTTCATGCATTTTCGCATTGAGAGTAAACCATTTTCGTCAACATAGCGATGCATGGCTTGCAATGCACACAGACACATGCAACCGAAGCAAGCAAGCAAAAATAAAATCAACAGCAAAAAAAAAGAAACAAAGCATTTTGTATTAGTAATACAGTATTACCCAGCATTTGATTGCTTTTGATATGGATGCATATAGATGCTTGGGGATTATGGACGAAATGAATTGATGCTATAGTGACGATGTGTCAATGACTTTATGGATAATAAAAATAATAAATTTAACAATGTTCATGGTGTTCGCGTACGCGAAAGCGGTGCTGTGTTTTGTTACGAATAACAAATGAAACCATCATATATATATATATATATATGTCAATCGTGTCGTCAAACGAAAGAAAGAAAATAGAATAAATGTGTTATTGACACGTTTTGTGGGAATATAACCGGTGCAACCAAAATAGCAACGAGCGAAAAGAGTTCGAAAGGAAAAAAAAATAGTTGTGATGTGAAAATTTATATGCATCAAATGGCCTGTTAAGCGTGTTATCTATGCGTCGCATTGAGAGCACGTATAACAAACGTTCATAATATAAATTAATAAAACATTCATAACAAAGTACCAATCCGAATGGAATGATGTTTTGAAATAAATCGGTTCCGAGGATAGTTCGCTTAGTGTTTTGTGTCGTCCAATCACGTTCGCTGTCCCCGAGAATAACAATGTATATGCATATTTTAGGTTACCATCCCACTCAACGAGTTTCAGAGAAAAGTGAAACGATACGCGTTTGAAAACGTGAAAATTGTGGTGGAAAGAGCAACAAAAAGAGAGAGAGAGAGAGAGAGAGAGAGAGAGAGAGAGAGAGAGAGAGAGCGAATAGTTTTCATGCAATTCATGGCACGACACATGTTTTGATTGTGGGCGGTTGCATGCACAACAGTCAGCGTGAATCACAGTCATATCATTTTCAAATGTGTACATGTTTGCATGCGAAGGCCAACGGCTGTCAACCATTCGGGCAGAGAACCGGAAACAACAGAAAATTCTGAAACAAATGAAACAAGTAAACCAGAAAATTCCAATATATCTTAATGTTTGAAAAATGTATATTTAGATTTATTCGGTTTGATCCCAACTCCGCTTGCCTGTATTATTACACTACATTCATAGAGCATTCCAGAATACGTACACCATTTCGAAATAGTGTTACGGTTAAATTGCAAAAGACGACGAGGACGACGTTGACAGCGGATGCGAACTTCATCCGAAGAAAACAAATATATATACACAGTACACACACTATTGACAAGTGACAAACAACCACCGAGGAAATGAGAGCAGTAAAACGCGCACATTGATGCGACGATGTGTAATGCAAGTGAAATAAAATCATGCAAAAGCCAACATTATAATAATAAAAGGGACAAATAAAAGACAGAGACAGAGACAGAGACACAGAACGTCTACATGCCAAGCAGAAAGGACACACACCCACACACACACACATATATATATATACACGGAACAAAATTGCCAGAGAACGAGCAATGAATGCGGATTAAACGTAACACAAAGAAGTACATAGCATAAATATCAATAGATTTACGAGTTTCATTTCGAATAGAACGAGCATAAGATTGTCACATCTGCACTTTGCGCCATAGTGCACGCGGCGGATCGGCAAACGAAAGGAAGAAAAAAAAAATCGGGAAAAATCCCAACGAGCCGACGTCAACATCGAAAAAATTATACAATCGCATAACGGCACACACTGCTGAACACAACATCTTATTGATTAAGCTGTTCCATCTACATTGTGTCGCATACGAAAATGAAATGGAAACAACGTCACATCCAGATGAATATCGTCCAACGGACGTGCTAAATTTTTACTAAATGTTCCTTGATCCGGATCGTGTGCACGGTTTGCGGAAACGAATAGCAAGAAATGCTGCAAATTAAAATCGTCCCACTGAATTTCGGTGCGAAACAAAGACAAAAACGCAAAATATATACACAAATCGAATAAACTTCCACAGTGATTCCACAATCAAGTCAGTGCAAAACAACGCATTTATACGCGTAGGCGTAAATTATTGAACGAGCGTGCAATACGTAAGGAAAAGAGTGAGAAAGTGAGAGCGAGCGAGAGATAGAATGAGAGAGATGAACATGGTCGGTATTCGGTTGATAATTTATGTCCTGACTATCAATGGTCTCGGATTAAATGGTGAAAATGTCAAAACGTCTGTACCAGACGCAACAATCCTGCCCCAGGCACCATCTTTCAAATCTGTGATAAACAATTCTACATTGACCAGCGCTGCCGCGTCAAACAACCGAACCAAATTTATTGTGGCCAATTTTGAAGAAACGCTTAGCATTCCAATTTCGACAGCATCAGTGCAAACAGCGCACAATGAAACAACAACAATATCGTCGACGACGACGACGACTGCGATGATGAAGAAGACAACAAGTAATTACAACAATGAATTGAATGCGCGATCAATTCAAACGACGAACAATAACAAAATGGGCGCGAATCATAGAAAATCGGATAATGGTGAAGTGAGTCCAAAAACACCGCCAATACAAGCAATTCCGAAACGTGATAGGCAAACGTTATGGAATTCAGCACTTGACGATGGTGTTACCGTTACAACGTCAACCAAAACTCCAGCGCTTGAATCTGGAAACGACAAAGTGGAACGCATCAAGCAACTAAAAACATTGGCACCGATTAATGAACAGAAAATCTTATTAACTCGTAAATCGCATAACGAACAACTTAATAATGAGATCAGTGGGAGTTGGATGCGTACAAACAATGACGATGTTAATGGCGATGGCAGTGGAGATGTAGCTCGAAGTGTTTCAAATTCAATCACCGTGCCATCGCTATTTATAACTGCTGCCACCACCACTACATCACAATCAAATAAAGAAGTTTTAATCGGGAATTCAGTAAAAATGTCAGAAATACCGAGCGAAACCATCGAACCGTTTACAAGTGATGCGAACGAAAAAAGCCCATTATTATTATCTACACCAGTATCGATGGCCGATAAACGCAACGACAAAGTGTTGATCGCTCAAAGTAAAACAGCCAGCGACCCTTTGTTCGCTGCAAACAAAGCAAATAATTTAATTAATTTCTCAAATACTGCTGTTTACGGTACAAACACCACAATAATAAACAAAGTTCCGACAATGCAATATGAAAATTTGGCCGAAACTTTTAAATTAAACGCCGGTGGCACAATTAATGCGGTCGATAGCTTGAATCCATACAATGGAAATCATGGTGTAAACATGGCTGAAATTACCCGTCCGGACAAAAATACGGGTTTTGCGAGCAGAAACAATTTGATGGAGGCCAATTCAAATACGCAACAAATTCCAATTAATTTCAATCACAGTGATGAAATGCATCCAGCAACGGTATCCACCGTTCATCATGTGGCATCTTCATCATCTACCATTGAAGTTCAGCGATCACTGAATGAAGTTAACAAAAAAATCCGCACTACCAGTAGTTCCATTGGGCACAAACGGTTTAAATCAACGGCAAGCCGTTTAAATAATGCTGATAATGAGAGCCAAACTGAAAATGGTGTACCAGTTGCGAGTGTGGCCGATCGAAAAATGAATGACAGTGCTTTCAATACTAATAAACAAACATTTGTTTTTGGTTCGACAACTCAAATGATGACTGTCAATGTGGTGACAACGACGACGGCAACGACGACAGCGGCGCCTGATGTGCGAAATAATGCACCAATTCATTCAAACTTATTGCACGCAGACACAACATCGATACAAGAAAATATCGGCACCCGCGCCGTCAGCACCACCGCCGCTGTAGCATCACACGAAAAACCGTTAATTCGAAATGAAGTTGAGCTGAACATGCATAATGGTTCGTCAAGCAATCAAGCGAAAACCTCTTTTGCTGAACTTTGGTTCATAAATTCCGATGTTACAACAAGTCGTCCGTACGAAAACACTAACAGATTCACCGAACCGGTTAAAGTTACAAGCAAAAACAACTATAGTAGTAGCAGCAGCAGCAGCAGCCGCAGCAACATTAACATTCACACCACTGCCGATGGCAGTAACAAAAATTTATCGCAACCATCAGAAATCATCAACTTGAGCACATCATCAAAATTAACGATGTCATCGTTATTAGTCGATGGAGAGAATAATAGCAATGGCAGTTCGATAAATACGTTCGTTACGCATTCCAATGCAACGGAAAGCCCACTGAGCACCGTTCAACGGTCATTCATCCGATTGAAAGACACAAAAAGCAATAATTCATCAACAATTTTACCGTTCGAATACCATTCAGAAAATATTGACAACGACGATGACGACGCCGACGACCACGACCACGACGATTATAATGATTCTAACAGCAGTAGCAGCAGCATCGTGCCATCGACACAACAGCCAGCCGCTGTTGATGATTTGAAAGCTCTCATGAATGGTACAAGCGATAAGATGATTTCGCACACAAGAAGCTTTGCATTGCTTGATCATCAATTGCTGCTATCGCACGGTGATGCGTTCAGTGAGGCGAATTATGTGAATAATTTCTTAACCGCAGCAATTACTGCCGAACACGAGGTCGGCAATCAATTTGCAATCGATTATTCAAATGGAAGTAGCAGTGTTAACGACAGGTGCGTTTTTCTTCATTCATTTATTCACGCAAATAATAGCAATACTAACCAACTGTCCGGCCGGAAAATGATGATTCTCTTCTTCCCTTCCGATATCATCGTTTTCCTCTGGTTTTGAAATTTGAATTTTTTTCTCGTTGTTTCTCTGAGTTCACGACTCTTCGCGGCTTGATTTCCGCTGAAAACATTGATCGTTTGCTTTGATGATTGTTTTTTGTTCCTTACAGTGAAACAATCACTACATGGCCGGTTAAGCATGCGGCTATTGTCGAAGGTGACGTCGTTCTAGGCGGTTTAATGATGGTGCATTCCAGAGAAGATACCATCACATGTGGCCCAATTATGCCACAGGTAGGTGATTTGAATATCGACCAAATGTAAGCAAATATCTTGGAAAATATGACACAAAGAAATTTTATTTCTTCTATCCAATAATGACACAGGGCGGTATTCAAGCACTTGAAGTAATGCTGTACACATTGGATCGCATCAATGAAATTGGACTGCTGCCAAATTTCAGCCTCGGTGCACACATTCTCGATGATTGTGATAAGTAAATATTTACATTTTTGTTGTTTGACATCGCCCTTCCCCCTCCGTTATCAGTGTTTGTTGTTTGTGTGTATGTGGAGCGCACCAAACCGGATTACGCCCAATTATCTCAAATCCGACATAATAATTAGAATAGATAGTACTATTTGAGCATATAGTTGCGTTGTAATACAGAAAGGTTCTGCAGTTGATAATTTCGAAGATTTAATATAAATATTGTGTTCATTTCTCGCAGAGACACCTACGGCTTGGAGATGGCAGTGGATTTTATCAAAGGTAAGTCGTTTATTGTTGAATTTCCTCATTGCGGATATCATTATTCTACGTGGTTGAGCATCAACATGTTGACTATTCTAGTTCATGTTTGGTTCGCTGTATTCTTGACATTTTATTGTGATTTACATTCGGTGATGACCGCTTGCTCTGAACAAAATATCATTTGGCAGAAGCAATTAAGCTACAACGTTGGATAAAATTTCACATTTTTCCGTTATCTAACTCAGTAACTACACTCTTCCGCACATTTGGCTCATGATTAAAGTTACTACTCATCGCATTGTCGACTAAGTTTAAGTACAAAGAAAATGAGGGAATTTCTTCCTCGTTATTAACAAACCAGGATAGTAAAATATGAATTTAAAGCAGGTTCAGCATGCTGATGTAATTTTTTTAAATGAACCATTTTGTCTATCTTCCAGTTTCTATTGATGAATTCAGTTTTTTGATGAATATTCGTTCGTTTGCAATAACTATTGTTAAAGTTACATACTCGAGTAAAAAGATGTTGGATGTGTCAGGTTTCAAGTATTTTCTCGTTGTTTCCATCAGTTCGCTATGAAAATGTTCACGTCAAAAACTTTGAAAAATAACGAAAACACTTTCTAAACTCATTTCCACTCAAAGAGTTCCTGTTCAGTATTTGATGTGTCAATGAAATTGTTTGTTGTTTCCAGGAAAATTACAACTTTTCTCAAAAAGCACTTGAAAGGATTTGTGATGAACTCAAACAGGTTTCCCCCATTACTTTTGTGCATTTTAAGTTGGATCAATCAGTTTAAGCGATTGTTTCACTTTTAAATGAGATTGAGCCACTGGCATCCTACCTATTGTTTCTCTTCTACAATATAAGACTAGAAAATTCATGAAATCTACACTTGCAATGCTTTAAATAGTTGGTTTTTTCGTTCCGAAAATCTAGCAGTAAATTTACCAGGTTGAAAATGTTTGCATTTACAATTTTCTGAGCGGAATAGTTTCAATTTTCACAAGGAAATTCAACATTTATTCTTTGCCATCGGCTGAACATGGGCGCTGGCTGCTTAATCTAGGAAATTCGATAGCGATGGCAATTAAACCGTTAGCTTAATTGTTTGATTTACTCGTGCATATTGAAACTTTTATGTTCAAACATTGGAGCATTTTCGACCTGACGAATTTACTACCGGGTTTGCCAGAGCAACAAAAATGGAGCACATTTATTTCCAGTGAATTTTACATAATTCATCATGATTTTATAACTGGTTTTTTTATGAAAAAAAAAAAAAAAAAAAAAAAACCAAGTTTTACGGGAACTATGTTGGTTCAAAATTTCTTTTCACTCCCTCTCATTCATAAACTCTGACATATTTTACACACAAAATCAACATATTTTACATAAATATTGCTGTCAGAAGGCTACACTCCATCCTTGGTTATCGCACTCATTATCCCAAATAAATCATAAGCTTAAAACCATTTCTCGTCAAATTATGGTGGTCTTTTCTGGTTAGTTGTTCATGTTGAATGGGAATGTAAAGTTCCCACTCGATATGCGGCGGTAGTCCATTTAGTAGCATTCTTAATTGTATGGCAATTAGCCAAGGCGGTTTTATTTTTCATGTCCACATGTATGATTTTTCGGTGTGGCACAGTACAAATTGAGTCACCAAATTCAAGAGAGAGAGGGGGGGACACACACACAGAGAGAGAGAGAGAGATCGAGCAACAGTGAACGAGAGACAGAGGAAAATTGCGGTAGTTTATTTTGCACATTGAACATTTGCATCGGCTGTTTCATTTGTACATAGCATTTGGTTGCGATGTTTTTTCTCTTTTTGTGCGCAAGCCAAAGACTGAAATAAGAAATTTTCAGAAGATCCGAAAACGCCATAAATTGTGTTCAGAAGATCCGAAATTCCGATTGCAATTTAAAAAACAAAACGGAACTCTGAATTATAGATTAGTTTTTTTGTATTTGGAAGATTCAATTTGTTGTACGGAAAAAAAAGAAATGTTTGATATTTCCCATTGATTTTTATCATTCATCCACAATTTTATTGCCGATCTTGGGAATTATTTTTTCAATATGAATGCCTACTCAGCAAATTAGTGCATGCTAGCGGTGCCGGATCTGGGTGTTTTACCGCCCCGTGCAAATTGTATTTTTGCCGCCCTAAATTTAAGAAATAAAGCGAACATTTTCTCAAAGAAATTTTAACCCTTTATCACGCATTGGTTCTTAAAGTAACCAGATATGGCAAACGCTATAACTACGAAACCACTGAATATTTTTGCATACTTATTTGGAAACCAATGTAGGGAATTGAACCATCTTTCATTAAATACATTACTTTATATATATGGTTAGCTGCATCGAAAGATTTTTGTGTTCATGTACTGCTGTGAAAAAAATGCGAAATTAAAGCAGAATTACAAATTTTCCGTCCTCGCATCTTGTGGGTTTGTACATCCTTTTCGATTGTCAAATTATGATTCATAGGACCAAAACACATCAATTTAACTTATGAAATTTAATTTATTCAGGCTGTTATAGCGATTTGACAGTTTTGACTCTTTTCCTCGTTTTTTTTCTTCTATTTATCGTGGAACATAACATATATCAAAATCATTCAAAAATAAAAAAATTGCGCATTAAAGGGTTAATAGTTCTTCCAAAAGCTGATAATTTTTTTTCTGACACGGCTTTGATATATCGCATAGAAAACCGAAATATTTGCTTAAAGGCGTTGTGGCGACTATCAAGACGTTTTGGCTCTCGGTGCAAGTAGAATTAGATTGAAAAATACATGTCAACTTGCGAGCGGAGCGAGTTTCATTTTTTTCAGTAAATCAGCTGAAACATTTGGCGCAAACCATTTCTTTTTTTGCATTCATAATTTAAATTTTTTTTTTTAAATTTGGGATTTTGCCGCCCAAACATGTTGCCGCCCCGTGCAAATGCACGCCTTGCACGTGCCCAAATCCGGCACCGCATGCTAGTGCCATGATTTCTTCACAATCGGTGTTTTAGGATATTCAATCATCCAACTTCGAATTCCAACCGAAGTCTTCAAAGAGAGAATTTACTATGTGAACGCAGAACTGTTTCAAACAACGAAATTCATTGAAAAACTGACAAACTTCAGAATGCAGGTGTTTACAAAAAATTCGAAAAAGTGAACAGTTTTTGCGATAACGAATTTAATATTTGCCATATCTTGACCAACAATTTTAGTGTTTGTACGTGGCGACTAAAGCGAGGCAAATATTTCGATATGATGTGTAATGAAATTCAATTTTACCTAATTTATTGTAACATTTTCTATCAAAGAGTATTTTGTATGCGTTCTTTGGGCATACATTTTGTTTCATTTGAAATTTCTGAGGATCCGTAATTTAAAACTAGAGCAGCATTTTTCCGTTCAGAAGATCCGAAAACCGGCAGAAGATCCGGTTATTTCAGTCTCTGGCGCAAGCGCAACTGTGGCCATTGTAAAAATGCACCGAAACCAAAGACTTAACAGCTTAAATAGCCTGACATTGAAAGAGCTGAATTGCAGATTGCTATCGTTCTTGGGAAAACTTTTTTATCCGTCAAATAAGTATGTATGTGTTTTTGCATTGAAAAAAAGAGTAATGTCTATGACAGGACGCCTTTTGCAAAAAAAAAAAACAAACAAATATCAACCACAGAACGAAGTTATGGCAGTGTGTGTGTGGCAAAATGAAAGTACGATTTCAATTTTACTTTGATGATTTTTTCTGCTTGTTCTGCGTGAATTTTACGATTTTCGATACACAATCATAAAGATAAAATACTGCGGTTCAGCACATGCAAAACCTTTCCGAATGGCAAACAAAAGGCCAGCAAAGCCATTTGTTCATTTTATAGTACACCGGCTGTAGGTGATTTAAATATTGACCAGATGTAAGCAAACACTCGAAAAAGATAAAGAACAATTGATTTCGCCTGTTAACTAAAGGTACTTCAAAATGAGATAGTATTTCGCATTTAACCGAAAAGGAATCGCAATTTTTGGCAAATGGCCGGTGTGTGGCCGTATGATTCAGCGGGTGCCTGTTTGTCTTCCAGATCAAATGAACTGAGCTCAAGTCGAAACCTCATCGTGGTCCTTATTGAACTTATCCAATTATATTTCGACTGAAAATGGTTCTCATCCTGACTTTTTACATCGCATATCGAACAAGCAGATGCAATGTATTGATCCACATTCCACATGGACTTTCTGAAGCTCGTTGAACAATTACAAAATCCACGTGTATTTTCAAGATAGACCAAGATAGAGCGAACTAATATTTATATTAAAATAAATTACATTATGTCAGCCACAAGTAAACTGTGTCAATTCAACTTGATCTTCCACTTCGGAATAATTTTTCATGTATGAAAAAAGGGGCGCACACACACACACTATCACTTGAAAAACCGCCGACAGACTTTGTTTAAGTGATAAGCCGTTATTCTTGTAATTGCAGTTTGCCAAATGCCGTATTTACATAAAATGGCAAACGCAAACATGTACTGCAACTATTTTGATTGAATTGAACAAAAACTTATTTTATATATTTATTCCATTGAATTCACTAGAATACCAACGAGTATGAACTTAAGACTGTGTTGGCAAGGAAAAAGCTCTCATCATTTTACTGCACTTTCTATTGCTATTTTATTGTTGTTCCAGTTTTTGCTTTAAGAAGAAAACTTTGAAGAGCGTATTTAAAAGCGGCAACGGGGAAACTCATCGAAATAATAGCTATGACAAAATGACAAAATGGAATGTACTCACACAGCCTATTCGCAGAAGATATGAGTTCGTATAAAAATTGTTGGCGTAAAATATAGCAGTGCTCATAAAATTTACAAAGTGAGGAAGACCCTTTTTTTTTGGTTTTTCACTTAAAAAAAGGGCAAAATGGAAAGCATCAGTTGACTGAATCATTACCCATTCATGTGCATGCCGCCAGTGTTATGTTGAGTGTATTTGTTCTGACAGTTC